GAAAACACTTTTGACAAAACGCAACACTCATTCCTAGTAAAAACACTAGAAGTATAGGAATCAATGGAGCTTTCCTTATAATGATAAGTAGTATCTATTTAAAACCATCAGCAAGCATTATTTATAATGGAGATAAGCTAGGAACCTTCCCAATAATATTAGGGATGAAGCAAGGTTGCCCATTATCACTATTATTATTCAATATTGTACTAGATTTGCTAGCTATAGCAATAAGAGAAGACAAAGAAATTGAAGGGATTAGAATAAGCAATGAGGAAACAAAACCATAATTCTTTGCATACTTAGATGGCATACTTAGAGAATCCTAGAAAATCAACTAAAAAACTAGTTGACATAACTAATAACTACAGCAAAGTTGCAGGATATAAAATAAACCTACATAAATCATCAGCATTTCTATATATTACCTACAAAGCCCAGCAGGAAGAGATAGAAAGAAAAATTCTGTTTAAAATAACTTCAGACAATATGAAACACTTAGGAGTCTACCTGCCAAGACAAACCCAGGAATTATATGAACACAATTACAAAACACTTCATACAAATAAAGTCAGATCTAAACAACTGGAGAGATATTAATCGCTCATGAGTAAGCTGAGCTAATATGATAAAAATGACAATTCTACCTAGATTAATTTACTTATTCAGCACCATTACTAGCACTTATATAGCACTTTGAGGTTTACAAAATGCGTTTCATATATTATCCCTTTGGATCCTCATAACACCCTTGGGAGGTAGGTGCTATTAATAGTCATGTGTTACAGAGGAAGACAATGAGGGAGCCAGAGGCATAATCAAGCAATACTCCTTTGCTGATTGCACAGAGCACCGACCCTTTCCCCTCTTCTTCCTCATTAGTACATAGAATTGACCCCAGCCCCTGCCTCTGCTCACTAAAGCCCCATCTACTTTTAGTTGCTATGATCCTAGAATTTTTTCTTGCAGTCTATCGAGGACATAGGATTCTTTCTCCTAGGTCACAGCTGGGAAAGAGTAGTAATATCACAGAGGGCTGTTGATGACCCAGTGGCCTTCATCCTGGCTCCCAGGGAAACCTCCTCTTCTTGCTGGCCCTCCAGGAGGCAGGAGCAGCCCCAGAGCATGACTAAAGAAGGTCAAGAAGACCCTGCTCCTACCTAGGAATTTCTGAGGCCAGAGAGATTGGTCTGGGAAGTGGTCAGCATCTTGATTTGGAATTGTGAAGAATAGAGAAGTTGAGAGTAAAGAGATGGGGAGGTCAGAGCCACTCATCAAAGCCACCCTCTGTCCACAGGGAGAATCTCCAGTGACTAGTATATGTGTGTATATATGCCCAGGCCACACAGCTCTCCTCTGTCTCTCAGAATAATATCACTGTCTATAGAGATATCCAGACACTCACACACCCATCCATAATTAATCAATCATTTATTACATGCCAATTATCTGCCAGGAACTGAAGATAGAAATGGGAAAATGCAACAATTCCTGTTCTCAAGGTGGTTACATTCTCTTTTTTTAAAAAAAAATCAATTCATTTATTTTTAGTTTTCAACATTCGCTTCCTTAAGATTTTGAGTTTTAAGTGTTCTCCTCTCTCCCCTACCTCCTCCCAAAGATGGCATGCAATCTGACATAGGCTGATATAATAAATTCCTATTAAACATATTTTTACATTTGTCATGTTGTAAAGAAGAATTAGAACCAATGGGAGAAACCACAAGAAAGAAGAAACAAAGCAGAAAAGAAAAAAGAGAGTAAATAGTATGCTTCGATCTGCATTCAAACTCCATAGATCTTTCTCTGGATGTGGATAGCATTTTCCATCGTCAGTCTTTTGGAGATGTCTTAGATCCTTGCATTGCTGAGAAGAGCTAAGTCTATCAAAGTCAGTCATCTCACAATGTGGCTATTTCTGTATACAATGTTCTCCTGGTTCTGCTCACTTCACTCAGCATCAGCTCATGTAAGTCTTTCTAGGTCTTCTTGAAGTCTGCCTGCTCATCATTTCTTATAGCACAATGGTATTCCATTACATTCATATACCACAACTTGTTCATCCATTCCCCAGTTGATGGGCATCCTCTCAATTTCCAATTCCTTGCCACGACAAAAAGAGCTGCTATAAATATTTTTGTACATGTGGGTCCTTTTCCCATACATATATATATATATATATATTATCTCTTTGGGATACAGCCCTAGAAGTGGTATTGCTGGGTCAAAGGGCATGCACATTTTTATAGGCCTTTGGGCATAGTTCCAAATTGCTCTCCAGAATGGTTGGATCAGTTCACAACAAAGAGCTTACATTCAGTTGGGGGCAGAAAACATATGTGGAGATAAGTAGAAACCATACATATCCCAACTAAGTTCAAAGTAATCTCTTTTTTTTTTTGTGGGAGGGGGAGAGAGAGCAGGAAAAGCTTCATATTGAAGGTAGTCTTTGAGTTTTCTGTGGATTGCAAGGAATCTAAAGTTGTCTAGATATTCTAAGAGGTATTCTAAGGGGAACCATGAATCTTCATTTTGTACTGCCTGCTTTTACAAAAGAATTTTTTCAAAACTATCTTTCTAATAAGTAATATTAATTAACCAATAATATAAATTCTTTTTTTATTTTTATTTTTTTTCGATATGCTTTTGAGTTGAAAATTTTTCTCCCTTTTTCTCCCCCCCACCCTCCCCAAGATGGCGCACAATCTGACACAGGCTTTACATTTACATACCCATTAAACACATTTTCACATTAGTGAAGTTATCAATTCTTAATAAAAGGATTTGTTCTGTAAAATTTGGGCTCAGTCAAAATGTCATTCCCAAGGACCTAGAAGGCCACATGTGGCCTGAAGGATACAGGTTTCTCACCCCTGTTATCTGTGCTTCCTTCCGAACTCCATTCTATTCTCTTCTGGGCATCCCCACCCCTCCTACCCTAGCTGGTTGTGGTTATAAGTTGTTACCGAAACATGTTTTAAGTCACTCTGTTCATACATGTCACAAATCTGAAAGATCGCTAAATTGTTTGTTAAGATGCTAACCCCCAAAATTCTTAGCATTTCTTTAGCACGTGGGAGTTAATTACTTTCCCCAGACCTGATTTATGTTACCCACTAAGTATTTTATAAGCTGTAAGTAAATCTTCCCCTGGGAGGCCTGGGAGGAGCCAGTGAGTGTGCATAGAGAGGGCTAAGCCAACTCTTTTCAGTAGATGCCAGGCTCCCCTGGGATTGAACCTAGTTCAAACCACTTGCCTGAGTATGTAGAAAAGAAAGGAGTGGGTGCAATGGGTGCTGGACCGAGCTCCTCTAGGTCCAACACTTGTTTTTCAAGACTAGACAGGGAATCAATGCTAATGGTGTCCATGTTGGGAAGAGGTGGCAGATGGCCAGAGAAAGCTTGAGCCTTTTCTCCACCCCCCCATTGCTCCCTGAAGGTGTTGTTTTGGGCTGGAAATGATGGCATCAGTGGGTGGAAGTGTTCAGTTGGCAGAAAGAACTGCAGTGTTTTCCCCATCCCATCCCCATCCCAGAGTAGCCCTCAGGCTCACAGGTGTCTGTGGGGGAGCTGAGGGTAGGGAAGGGGAGAAAACGAGGACAAGAGACCTCTTTATTCTTTCAAGCCTGTCCTCAAGGCATCTATCTTCCTCATCCACACCCTGAGAAGACCAGCCTCAAGCCACATAGTAGCCTCTAAAGAGAGGTATCTCTAACATCCAGAGAGAAAACCTTGGGCTGGGAACCAGGCCCTGGATTCCAGCCCCAAGTCTTTGCCGATTTGCTGTGTGACTTAGGGCAAGCTTCTTACCCATTTGTACAAAGAAAGGGTCTCCAAAGGTTTCTCTAAACTTTGACAGCTTGTGATTGTATGTTTCTCTCTGTTATCTCCATGTTTCTGTGTCTAATTGTTTGTGTTTATTTTGTAACTTCCTGCCAATCTTTTTCATTGTCTTTGAATCTTTCCCTCTGTGTCTTTCTCTGTCACATCTCAGCTTCTGTGTCTTTCTCTGACTTTCTGTCAGTTTCCAGATCCAATTTCCTCATCATCACCTTTGCCTCATTCCTTCAGCCCACAGACCTTGCCTTGCTGAGAGAGGCCTCAGGGAAAGCCAGGAAGCTAAAATGCCTCCATCTTTCCTCTTACTGACACTCAGAACAGCAGGTGACAGCCAGGCCAGGAAGAAGACAGAGTCAGGGAGAAAGGAAGATGGTGTCAGAGGGATGGAAGAATGGGTGTGGGTGGAGATGGAAGAAAGGGAGGAGATGAAAGTGATAAAGAGACAGAGAAGGAAGCTTGAGGAGCAGGTAGGTCTCTGTAGATCAAGAGCCCTAAGAGATAGGTAGGTGGCAGGTCCACCCTAAAGCTAATCTGTTATCTTGGAGGGTACCCCAAATTCAGACTTTTATCATTCATTCATTCCATAGGTCAATCTGCCTGGCTGGCTGTATAGCTGACTTCTCTTGGGCTGAAGTTGGGAACTCACTATAGGTTCAAAGCTGCCAGGGGCTCCACTCTTTCATTTCTTTTTGTCTCTGGCTCCTCTATGGATCTATGTCTCTTTCTTTCCCTCTGTCAGGCCTCTTATTATCTCCCCTCCCAATGCCTGGCACAGAGCAACTGCATCAGAAATTCTGTTCTCATTCTTTCGTTTGTCACCATTAGAGGGTTGCAATAGATTGAGGTCATGGTCCAAGTTCATAGCAATTTTGTCCTTGGAAGTGAAGCTGTGAAACATTTTGATGGTTTGGAACTGATACCTGCAATTACAGAGAAAGCCTCTGGCAATGAGTTAGGAACCCAGCCTGCTCTAGGGAAGGCCACTCTCTCCCATGTGGTCCCCAGAGCTGTCCTGAACCCTTATTCCTTGAACAAAAGGGCACAAAGAAATTCCAAGGAGGGGGACAACCAAAATGTTTGGGAGAAATAAGCTTTGATCCATCAGATGCAGGCTTTTTCAGAAGTAAGTTTTTATTGATGTCTTCCACATTTGACAACATCATAATTATTTCCAGTATCCCCTCCCTCCCTTTTCCAGAGAGCCATCCCATATAACAAATAAAATTTTTAAAAGATCTGAAACAAGAAAAATGATAAAGAAGAGGGGAAACAAGTCTGAAAACGTTTCCAATGTTAGCGATCGTCATTCATACCCAGAGAGGAGCAAAATGGCATCACCATGTTGGGGTCAATATACGGTGCGTCTGACTGGCTGATCAGACAAACACAGACTCAGAACAGTTTACCACAGGTCAGGCGCAAATAGTTCATGGACTATTTGGAGTGGAGATGGCTCTAAATTTGCACACCTCATATTTCTTTTTAGCTACTGCAGTTCTGCTTTCCCCTAGAGCACAGCACCTTCTTTGATGTGGGCATGCCATGCTGGGTGGTCCTGTGCCAATCTCTGTGAACCTGGAACCTCCATGGAAGGGTGACTTAGGGCTGTCCTCCCCTATATTTCCATTCCGGTGCTGCTGCTGCTTTATACTTTTAGGACATTTACTTGAATTCTTTTGGTTTATCATTCTTTCCACTGACATTGCTCTAGTCCCTGTGTTTATTGGTGTCCTGGCTCTGCTGACTTCACCCTGCATCCTTCCAATGGAGATCTTCCCATGCTTTCCTCTATTCATCACCAACAACATTTCTCACAGCACAGACATATTCCACCGCATTCAGGTACCACACTTTGTTTTTAGCCAGAGGTGTTCTTCAGCAGTGTAAAAGAACACTTAGAAACAGGTGCTTGCTTCACCCAGATGAAGTCAGAGAGGAGAAGGGGATGAGAATTACCAATTCTTGTGGGCTTTTTCCTCAGGGCTGTAGCAACCTGAATGAGCACCTTTGGTAAAATGACAACAGCAACAAACACACATAAAAAGTCAGTCTCATATCTCTCTGTTTTAGCTGTTACTTTCTCATTCTCCTTGAAGGAGGCCTGGGTGATGGTCTCTTCTCTCCTCTCTCCTCTATCCTCTCACTTCCTCTCATTTTCTTTCTTTCTTTCTCTCTTGTTTCCTCTTAAAACTCCTGATAATAGGTAGAAAACTCTGCCCTTCCCACCTGGAACTTGGGTTAGCTTCCCTTCTTTCTGAACTGGAAAGAACACAACTCTCGGGATCTTTGCTGATTCAGACTTCCTTGTAAAGGCACCAGGCCAAGCCTTACCGTGGCTGCTAATGATTTGCTCAGAAGGTACCACAGACTAAGGAATAGTTTTCAAGCAATTGGAGCTGGCAGGCTGATCTAGTCATAGACAGCTGTGCACCTGATTTTGCACCAATAGGGAGCTTGGAAGGTGAGGGTGTGTGTGTGTGTGTGTGTGTGTGTGTGTGTGTGTGTGTGTGTGTGAAAGACATTTTCCTCATTGGAAAAAGTGTGTCCTGGAGATGTGGGTGTTGGAGTCTTGGAAAGCAGGATCTTTCCTATATTGGCATAATGGCTTTGAAGAGTAAGTCAGAAGACCTGCCCTTTTCTGGCATCTCAGAGAGAAGCTATGGGCTTGGGGTTCAGTAATCCCACCCTCCAAATTGGGGAAACACCATTGCAGGAGCTAGAATCAATATCCAAAAAAATTGGACACCCTCCCCCTAAACTCCCTGTAGGGTGATGGAGAACCTTGAGAGAGGGGTCAAATGAAACCTACTGGACTCTCAGGCATGACTATACTTGTGTGTGTGTGTGTGTGTGTGTGTGTGTGTGTGTGTCTATCTTCTGCCTATACACCTAGACTCTTGATAGGCAGGAGAGGCAGGCAGGAAAGTCTGCCTGAAATGCATCCTGGTGCCCCTGGAAGGTGCTCCTCTCCATCTCCAGCCTTCCCTCAACCTGTCTGTGTATCTCCCAGGAACTGCAGCTGGGAACTTACTACTGTGTTAAAGCCTCCAAGGGCCACCGGCATTCCATCTCTGTCTGTCCCCTTTCTCAGCCTCTTGCTCCCCTTTGTTTTTCTTCTCTCTGTCTCCTTTTACATCTGTCTCATTCATCTCTCCTTCTTGTCTCTTCCACTTGATCTTTCTTTCCTTTTTTAGTCAGTTTTCCTCTTTCTCTCCTTTCCTTTTCTTTTCCTCCTTCTGTGGCTGTCTTTCTCCCTCTCTCTATCCTCCCCCTCTCTCAATTTCTCTTCCTTACTTCTCTTTTCCTTTCTTTCTCCCTCTCTGTCAGTGTCTTTTCCCTTCTTGGTCTCTCTTCTATTCTCTTCCCCCCATATCTTTATCCTGCTCTCTGCCCCTTCCCCTATTTCTGCTTTTCTCCCATTTCCTGTCCTTCACTCTACTTCTGTCTCTCTCACTCCTTCTTGGTGGTGTATTTCAGTGTACAGTGCTGGATGTGGGGGTCAGAGGGCTCAGCTTCCCATCTGAGTTCTGCCACTCAGCCGTGTGACCTTGGGAAAGTCATTTGACTCCCCTGGGCCTCAGTTTTCTTTTGTGCAACAGGAGATGTTTGGACCAGTTGGCTTCTAAGGCTCCTTCCAGCTCTACACCTATGATTCTGGGCCTCTGGTTTTCTCTTTGTCTTCCTTCTCAGTTTCTTTCTTGGTCTCTACTTCTCCTTATTTCTCTCTCTGCACTCCCAAATCTTTCTACCCCTTATTTTCCCCTTTCCTCTCCCCTATTCCTGCCTTTCCATCTCTGCTTCTCCAAGTCCTGTCATGTTCTGGGGAGATTTGTGTCTCCCTCTTTCCCTGATCTCCACTTTCTTTGTCTATTCTCTCTGTTGAAGCTTTAGGGGAAGGGTGCAATAGTGACCTCTTTCTCCCCCCAGGTCGGGCCTGAGTACACACATAGCAGAAGGCTGTGAGGGGGGCATGAGGGCAGGGCTAGACTGAGCACATCAGGGCTCCGTTTGGGTCAGGAAGGTTCCTAGCACCTCTGGTTGACCTGTCATGGACCCTGGTGACTCCAAGAATCTGATAGAGTGTAGGGAGTGCAATGGTTATCAGCCTGTTTTTTATTGATCTCTGTCCAAGGCATGACACCGAGAAACAGAATGGGGAAAGGGAACAGAGAGAGACAGTAAGAGAGACAGAGCTACAGAAGGGGAGGGGAGACAAGAAGAGACAAAGAGAGAGAGAGAGAGACAGAGAGGAGAGACAGCAGCAGTTAGGGTCCCAGAGCTGGGTAGGAGCAGTGGCAGCTGGAGTGGGGGTGTGGTGGAGAGGCTACAGAGACCTTTGGACCCTATGACAGGGACATGCCCCACATGCCATGGGCAGAGGGTCAAAGGTGGGTGCATTGAGGTCAGAGGATCAGGAAGGGACAGGGATGGGCAGAGAGGTCACTTACCGGGGTGGGGCAGAGCGGCTGTCACCCACAAGAGCTGGTGTTGTGGTCCTAGCAGGAGTGTAAGAGCTTGGGCCATGGATTCTGGGTGGCTCACTCTTCTGGCCACCCTCCTAGGGATCCTACTTCTGTTGACACGGGCTCCTTCTGCCTCCCAGAGAGGCCACCTCCATCCAGGGCTTAAAAAACAAAGCAAGAGATTTGAGATTTCTATGCCATCTTACACAATTCTGTGCTAGTTTGTACAAGTAAGTGTTTGATCCATTGGGTATTAAGTCCAGAATTTGAAAAATTTAAATTAAAAAAACCATAGTATATAATACATGTGGATTTAGGCATACTTTTCTTTTACTTCATTACTCTTTTTTTAAAATCTGTTTTCTTTTGTAACATAGCTAATCTGGAAATGTATAATCTAAATCAAATTGCATGCCTTCTCAACGAGAGAAGAGAGGAGGAAAGAAGGGAGGGAATTTGGAACTTAAAATTTTAAAATTGAATGTTAAAAGTTAGATTATATGCAATTGAGAAAAATAATGAAAAGTCAATGTGAAAAAACTTATGGAGGTGAAAAAGACCTTTGCATAGCCATCCACACAGGAAAAACCAAAGGGGTGAAGTACCTCTATTATACGGACTCTGCTATCAAAGTTAGATGAATAATCTCTACACCTATGACAGGCTTACTTACCTGTACATCATACTCACCTGTACCTTACCTGTATACCAAATTGCCTCCCCTTAAAGCACAAGTTTAACTGTAACTGTGGAATGGTCTGGAAATGGTGTGGAATTGTGATGCACATGCATGTGTCTCCAGGGACAGACCCACAACCCAGTCAAACACACCATTGCAAGGCCACAGCCACACTGGTTGGCATGCCATCACCCAAGGAGACAGGGGCACCCACACTGGGTGGGTCCTTCACAAGGTATCTGTCCCCAGGATGGATAGATAGGTGCCCATAGAGTTAGAATGACAGCTTCTTTCCAAATGTCAGGAGCATGGATTCTTCTTTGTGCCCCCTCCCCCACAGTGTCAGATGTAGGGGAAAGAATCTAGGGGGGAGAAACTTCAATCCATTTTTGACTGGACCTCAATTATCCTCCAGTGGCTGGAACAGGGCTGCACACATGATTACAAAATAATAATGACAACAATAAGAACAGTGATAATAATAATAATAATAATAATAATAATAATAATAATAGTGGCTAGCATTTATATAGCACTTTGAGGTTTACAAAATGCTTTTCGTATATTATCCCTTTGGATCCTCATAACACCCTTGGGAGGAGAAGGGGCTGAGAATTACCACTTCTTGTGTGTTTTTTCCTCAGTGCTGTGGCAACCTAGATGAGTACCTTTGGTTAAAATGACAACAGCAACAAACACACATAAAAAGTCAGTCTCATATCTCTCTGTTTTAGCTCTTACCTTCTCATTGTCCTTGAAGGAGGCCTGGGTGATGGTCTCTTCTCTCCTGCCCTCTCCTCTCTATCGTCTCCCTTCTCCTACTCTTCCACTCCACTCCTCCTCCCTTTCCCTTTCCTTTCTCCTCTCCTTCTCTCTTCTTTTCCTCCCTTCCTCCCCCTCTTATGTCATCTAATTCCCCCTCCCCTCTTCTCCTCTCCTCCCTTCTCTTTCTCTCCTCTTAAAACTCCTGATATCTGTAGAAACCTGTGCCTCATCCCACATTCTGAGCTTAGGTTATCCTCTCTTGTTTCTGAGCTGAAAAGAGCAGCACTCTCAAGATCTTTGCTGATTTAGATCCTTGTAAAGTCACCATCTCAAGCGTTACCATGACTGTTAAACCTTTGCTCATCAGATGCCAAAATCTAGACCAGCACTTCTTCCCCCGCCCCCCCCTTTTGGATATTTTACTCTTTCCAATATGAAAAGCCATTATACATACAGTGAAGGACATGAATACATAAGAATCACAAATCCAGGGAGCAGCATATGATGAAATAGTGGTCTGTACGTTTTAAATACTGCACCTCCTTTTTTTAAAGAACTTGAAACAAATGAGATTTGTTACAAATAAGTTACAAAGTGCTGCATTATGTTGGTACAGACTGCAACCTAAAAACATGCTGTAAGTAGGAATTATTGTAATAAAGATCAAAATGATACCAAATTCCAAAAAACATCAAAATAGGGCTGAAGAATCTTAGTTAAAATATGCTTTTTATTGGATTACTCATCTCAAAATAAAGTAACAACTTTTTTTCTATTAAAAATTGGAGAAAAGGTTCTTTTGAATAAAAACAAATTAAAACCAATAAAAAACACTTCTACTAATAACCATATGATTTCTATAGCAACAGAAAACAAGCACTTAGAGACCTCTTCATCTTCTTTGACCCCATTAGTATTTTAAGATCACAATAAATTATTGCAAGGGCATCCTCTGTCATTCGTTTTTGTTTTATGTTCTTTAAAATAGGAGTGCCATAAGGCAGAGCCAGAAACATGAAACATAGAAACCTGTTACCTCTACTTTTAAAAATTAGTCATTGTCTTTTTGAATCATAATTTTAATCTTTGAAAAGAGTCATGATTCTCGTGATGTGGGTACACTTCCTCCATCAGGGCAAATTGCACCCCTTTCACGCCTTAGTGTATGATTTCATGAATTTTTTTACCCCAAACTTGTCACCATGGAAAGATCTCCATGGATGGATGCAGAGTGAAGTCCCCAGAGCCAGGAAACCAATAAACACAGTGACTACAAAGTCAATGGAAGGAATGACAAATGAAAAAAATTAAAGTGAATGTCCCAAAAACATAAAGAAGCAACAGCACTGGAATGGAAACATAGGGGAGGACAGCCCCAAGTCATCCCTTCATGAAGGTTCGAGGTTCGCAGAGGTTGCTACAGGACCACCCAGCATGGCATGCCCACATCAAAGAAGGTGCTGTGCTCTATGGGCAAAGTAGAATTGCAGTAGCTAAAAAGAGACATGAGATGTGCCAATTTAGAGCCATCTCCATCACAGACATTTAGACAGTGACAATTAAGTTCTTGTTAGCTTAATCTTAATTATCCAAAGTCACTAACTTAATCTTTCATTATCAAGAATTTCTTTGCTGATGGACCCTTCTGCAGGTAGCTAGCCTGGCCCTTGAATGACAGTCTATCACCAGGGAAATACTCAGAGCCTTTCTAGTTTGGTGGAAGCTGCTCCATTCATTTCTGAACCACTGGCAAAGCCTTTAACAGCCCAGGGTCAGCTCCACCAAGATGAGTCACTGGAGGAAGACTTTACACAATATAATATTAAACCTAATCTAAATTACATACCAACTTTTTAAAACTGTGTGGTGAAAATACTTTTATCTCTTCATTTACAAACCCAGTCAAGTTTTCCTTTTTTTTCCCTTTTTTTTCTTTTTGGTGAGGCAATTGGGATTAAGCGACTTGCCACACAGCTAGTAAGTGTCATGTGTCTGAGACCAGATTTGAACTCAGGTCCTCCTGACTCCAAGGCCACCTAGCTGCCCCTAAGTTTTCCTTTTCAATGCTATTTTTAAATAGTTTGTAGAGCAGCACTTCTGAACACACAAGGACCAAAAATTAATTCAAAATCAAAAGAGTAATGAATTTGAAGTATTTCTGGCAGCACCTACCCATGTTTCATCATGTGACTTCATTGCTGCCTTGTTTCTGAACACACAGCATGCGCACTTTGCATTGCCGTCACACCATACACCACCAATGAACTCTGCCACAAACACCTCGAGTCAGATTTGAGACTATTGTATGTTATGAATTGCAGTGTTTTTACTGTACATACAAAGTTTTCTCCTCTTACAGAAGCATAACAGTTTAATTATGGAAAATGAAGACTTTTCATATTTTCCTACCCTCATTCCTTAGTATGTATCAAATTAATATATCATTGGATTGTACTGTGTTAGCACGTTTGATTTTAAAAATCGCTGTTATCTTCTTCTATGGTAACGTAAGTGTTTAATTGCAGCAAGTAAAGACAAAATCCCTTCAATAATATTTCTCCACTACCACCACTGTATGTGTGTGAACATCAATTTTTTAAACCAAGCACAAACAACTGTAATTTCTTAAACTAAACCTAGTATTTATTTAAGAAATTATTAGCAATATTTATTTATATTTTACAACAAAATTTTTTTTGTTATGGATAAGTGGCTAAATTTAGACAGAAGAGGTAAAAATACTGATAGCAGTGTGGCAGAGTCTTCACTACCAGGTTGTAGTACACCTAAATTGGCAGGAAAAAGTAAATATGTTGAATCATTTTTGCAATATGGATTTAATTCTGATAATGATGATGGTGTGGAAAAAACCTCTTTGCTTAATTTGTAATGAAGTTTTGGCTGCAGAGAGCATGACGCCAGCCAAACTAAAACAACATCTTAATACCAAGCATGCAACATACTGTATGTAACCAAAGGAGTATTTTGAACAACTTTTAAAATCTTCAGATAAAGAAAAACAATGTCTTGAGAAATTTGTTACTGTCAATGAAAAGCATTTGCTCACGTCTTATGAAACTTCTTATTTAATTGCAAAAACTAAAAAGCCCTACATGATAGGAAATCTTGTGTTACCTGCTGCTATTAAAAGGTCAGAAACAGTTCATGGGAAAAAGTATGGTGATGAAATTAACAAACTTTTTTTTATCAAATTATTTTAATGAAATCTACTGGGTTTTTTGTTGGTTTTTTGGGGGGGGCACGAGGCAATGGGGTTAAGCGACTTGCCTAGGGTCACCCAGCTAGTAAGAGTCAAGTGTCTGACGCTGAACTTGAACTTGAGTCCTTCTGACTCCAAGGCTGGAGCTCTGTCACCTGTGCCACTTAGCTGCCTGAATGATAGTGTTTCAAAAAGAATTTCTGAAATGAGTAATGACCAATTCCAGCAGCTTATTACCAGGCTTAAGGGCAGCCCAAAGTTAGTAATTCATCTACATAAAACAATTGATATTTCTTTTCTTTTTTTTTGGTGAGACAATTGGGGTTAAGTGACTTGCTCAGCTTCACACAGCTAGTAAGTGTCAAGTGTTTGGTCTCAGCCTAGATTTGAACTCAGGTCCTCCTGACTTCAGGGCCAGTGCTCTATCCTTTGTGCCACCTAGCTGCCCTGGTTGTATATATATATTTTTTTAAATCTCAATGATTTAACATATCACTTCAAGGAAAAAATTGTAACATATTTTGTTAAGAGATCATATTGAAAGTTTTACTAAAAAAGTTAACATATAAAAGAATAGGGTGCAAAATGGTTCTCTAGAAATGTTTACAGCTACAGATGATTTTATAATTGAAAATAACCTTATTTATATAAGAGTCATAATTGACCATCTGAAGTGCCTGGAGACACAGTTTCAGAAATACTTCCCTTCAGATTTGATTCCAAAAAACTAATTTGGGTTCACAAACCATCCTCAATTGAAATTTTAAAAAATGTCAGCCATCTGTCATCAAAAATTCAAGAAGAATTTGCTGAGTTATCAAGACACACAGGTTTAAAACTTGAGTTTCCTAAATGAGAGAATCTTATTCTCATGGGATTTGGCTTCAGGAGGGAATAGCATACACACTCAATTGGGTATGGAAATCTCTTTTACCCTATAGGAAAATAGGGGAGGAAGGGGACAAGAAAGCAGGGCAATGATGTAGAGAACGGCAAATTGGGAAAGGGGTAATCAGAAGGAAGTACTTCTGAGGAGGGCCAGGGTCAAAAGAAAGAATTGAATGGATGGGGGGGGCAGGAGAGGATTAAGGGAGATAGAGTTAGTTTTTCACAACTTGTCTACTATGAAGTGTTTTGTGTAACTGCACATGTATGGCCTGTACTGAGTTGCTTGCCTTTTCAATGAGGTAGGTGGGGTGGGAGGAAGGGAGAAAGTTTGGAACCTGGAGTTTTAGGAACACATGTTTAAAAATAAATGTTTCCACACGGAGCTGGGAAATAAGAAATACAGGAAATGAGGTACAGAAATCTATCCTGCACTGCAGAAAAGTGGAAGGGAAAGGGGATAAGAGAAGGAGAGGGGAGAGATAGAAGGGAGGGCAGACTGGGGAAAGGGGTATTCAGAATGCATGCCATCTTGGGGTGAGGGGAGGGGCAAGATGGGGTGAAAGTTTGGAATTCAAAAACTTGTGGAAGTAAATGTTGAAAACTAAAAATAAATAAATTTATATAGAGGAAAAATTTTTTTTGATTAAAAAAAACCTTGAGTTTCCTAAAAAATGTTAAAGGAATTTTGTTTTAGGATTAGGACAGAATTTCCAACCATTTCCCAAATGGACCTAAAGATATTTTTGCCGTTTTCTACTATGTATTTATGTGAAGCTATGTTCTCACCATTGACAATTATAAAACCAAAATTTCTATCAACTCTGAAAAACATTAAAGATGCTCTACGTCCTATAGTTTCAAATATTCCAATAAGTTCTAATTCTTTATGTAAAAATAAGCAATCCATTTCATTAGTATGCAAATTTCCTTTCATCTTTAATAAATGGTAAATTA